TTATTTATTTATTTATTCATTTATTTATTCATTCATTCATTCATTCATTCATTCATTCATTCATTTATATGCCGCCCACTCTACCCAGAGGTCTCTGGGCGGCTTACAACAATTAAGCTTCAATTAAGATACAATAAAACATAAAATGATTAAAATACAATTAAAATTGTCATCAGGACCCACAGTTGATGTTATTTCAATTAAAAGCCTTCTGGAACAGGAAGGTTTTGACCAGGCGCCGAAATGTCATCAACGTCGGCGCCAGACGAATTTCAGTCGGGAGGGCATTCCATAGTCTGGGGGCAGCTGCTGAAAAGGCCCTTTGCCTACAAACCATCCCTCTTACCTCCTTAGGGGATGGCTCTTTCAAAAGGGCCCCCCCTGGCTAGATCTTAACTGCCGGGTAGGCTCATATGGAAGGAGGCGGTCCTTCAAGTATCCAGGGCCCAAGCCGTTTAGTGAAACAATGTTTCACTTGTTGGCATTCCTGACCTTTTCAGTCAGATTTCCATTTGCTCATCATTTTGCTCTTGCAATCCAGAAGATATGTGCCCTGCATTATCAATATATTGATTTAATAGGAGAGTAGGTAAGTTCTCTACCTTTAACATAAATGTGTATGCGGAGAAATTTCTTTCATATATCTGATTGCCGCACACTTCTGCACTAACATCTTTTATGAACAAAAATGTTCATTCATGAAGATTCCATGCAAGTATTCCCACCCACTTAATATACTTCCTCTCTTCCACTAACATCATTACCTCATTATCTCAATTAGAGGAGGTTTATATACAAGACTTGAGAAATGAATAGTAACTAAGTGTTGCTCGACAAGGTGGTTTATTTGTGTGCAATTCCTCTACATTTCTAAATACTGCAGTTCTCCACAAAATTTACAACAGCTGTAATTTTTTACTCAGCTAGACAGTATGTCTATGAGTATGTCTCATTGAACTCAGTGCAACTAACTTCTGGTAAACATGCATAGAATTACCATATAAGGCTGCCGATATATACTTATTTTTTAGTGAGACACACCTACTTCAGTAGGAATGACTGCTGAATAAACTAAACCTGTATAACATCAGCCTTACATTTCTGTTTCAAGAGAAATGTTTTTCTTCAAATTCATTTCAAAATATGTTCCCATTTACTTTTCGCAGTTTAATTTAAAATTAGTCCTATTTTTATCAATCTTTATTCAAGAAATGATGACTGCCTTGATCTCATACACTTCCTTGTACAGTAGGACCCCTGTATCTGTGGGGGATTGGTTCCAAGCCCCCCACCCCAGATAGTGAAAAGTGTGGATTAT